TGTTGTGAGTGGTGAAGAGTGGTTGTGGGGTGTTGTGAGTGGTGAAGAGTGGTTGTGGGGTGTTGGGAGGGGTCAAGAGTGGTTGTGGGGTGTTGGGAGGGGTCAAGAGTGGTTGTGGGGTGTTGGGAGGGGTCAAGAATGGTGAAGAGAGGTTGTGGGTGTTGTGAGTGGTGAAGAGTGGTTGTGGGGTGTGAGTGGTGTGAGTGGTTGTGGGGTGTTGTGAGTGGTGAAGAGTGGTTGTGGGGTGTTGTGAGTGGTGAGTGGTGGGGTGTTGAGGGTCAAGAGTGGTTGTGGGGTGTTGTGAGTGGTGAAAGAGTGGTTGTGGGGTGTTGTGAGTGGTGAAGAGTGGTTGTGGGGTGGTGGAGTGGTGAAAGAGGTTGTGGGTGTTGTGAGTGGTCAAGAGTGGTTGTGGGGTGTTGAGGAGGTTGTGAGGTGTTGGGAGAGGTTGTGGGGTGTTGGGAGAGGTTGGAGGTGTTGGGAGGTTGTGGGGTGTTGGGAGAGGTTGTGGGGTGTTGGGAGAGGTTGTGGGGTGTTGGGAGAGGTTGTGGGGTGTTGGGAGAGGTTGTGGGGTGTTGGGAGAGGTTGTGGGGTGTTGGGAGAGGTTGTGGGGTGTTGGGAGAAGTGTTGGGAGAGGGTGTTGGGAGAGGTTGTGGGGTGTTGGGAGAAGGTGTTGAGGTGTTGGGAGAGGTTGTGTGTGGGAGAGTTGAGGTGTTGAGGAGGAGTTGAGGTGTTGGGAGAGGAGTGTGAGGTGTTGGGAGAGGTTGTGGGGTGTGGGAGAGGTTGTGAGAGGTGGGGATGTTGGGGTGTTGGGAGAGGTTGTGGGGTGGTGGGAGAGGTTGTGGGGTAGATGAAGAGGGAGTACAGGGGCAGGTGTGTGTAGTAAAGGGAGGGAGGGAGACTCCGCCTACATCACCAGAGGGGAAGGAATGGTGGAACAATACATAAAGGGGAGATTGGGGAGTTGAAAAGGGAAACATAAACGACAAGGGAGGTAAGTGATAAAGAGGAAAAGAGCAAAGGTGGGAGGTATGGGGGGGATGGAGGAAGAAAGAGAGGGAAGGGGAGGAAGGTGAGAGGGTGGAAGGGCATTGTGTCAAGATGTATGAACTTCCTGGTGGGTGGGATCTGATCACATATTCACATCAGCTTAATTTTTTGTGATTTGTAACGAATAAGTAATTTCCTGTACTAGTTGAGAATCCTTTATCTTAAGTCCTTGTGGCCGAACGTGTCGCGAATTCTGGATAAAGAATTCTCAAGCTGTAGTGTTGTATCCTTTATATATGGTGACCTTCTTTTGGGGCTCTATACCATGTGTATGAGAAAGAGAGTTTAATTCTTTTTCTAATAATTCTGCCCTGTGAAGCAGATGTATTCGGGGGTGTTTTAGTTTTAATTTATCTTCGTGGTGGTAATTGGCTTTTTATTCACTGGTAACTTAAACGAACTCGAGCAATATTCATTCTTGTATATGATTGAAAAGTGTCCTCCAGCTTGTCTTATAGGTCACACACTGTAGGGGAATGTGATCTACAACACCCAGGCATATGGATATTGTCAATTAAAAACAAATGATCACTGTGCCGGATCTGGCTTTCTCTACAGTACCTGAATATTAAACCAACTCTTTCCTCTTGTAATAATTTTGACTTCCATCTTTTTTGATTTTGTTATGATTCTCTCGCCTGGTGCATGACTTGCGATGCACCCTGCACAGATACCGTAAGTCTACTCAAGGTACAGTTCTGTAATAAGTTGCTGCTGCTCACCATTTTTACCTGGTACAGTAATCATTGTTAAATGCTTGAAATCTCCTCAAGCCTTAAACCTTGGTGTGAGACAGGCTAAAGAGGAAGCAGAACTGACAGAAACTGGCTTTGTGGTTTTATGGTCCTTTGAGGGTAACATTCACAGTAATCGGTAAGTACTCCTCAGACTTATCGATAGTCCCTATTAATTTCTGTAACAAGGTTCCTCAAGTGATTACCCAAATTTCAGTAAACTAGAGAAACATGTGACTTATTCCTGAAAATATATACAGTCCAAAGGAGTTTTAATTTGTTACATTACCTTAATTTATACTTCTTGTGTTATTCAGCTAAAGTGTCAGAGGTTGTATGTCAGTTTGTTCCTTTAGTCTGTGTTACTGAGGACCTGAATGATATGCATGTGGTTGAACGTCAGTCTCGTTATATTTGTATGGTCAGAAACTCACTGGCTACAGTTGTTATACAGTATACTGTACAGTGTAGTCTCAGTATAGTGCACTAATTCACTACAGTAGAGTGTTACACAGTGAAATTTTAAGTATTTTGCAGTGATGGGTACTGAAGCTATTGTGTTAGTGAGTTTACAGAATAGTGAAAGTAATCCCCCACCCCCCTTGCCAGCCATTACAAATACTGTATTGTGTTATCCATTATCATACAACTGCTTGTATACAGCACCGCTCCTCCCCGACTTACGACGGGGATAGGGACCCAAATCCAGGTCGTAAGTCGAAAATGCTTAAATAATACATAGAAAATCTAAAATGGGTGTCTCTTTTTCTTTTTAGCACCACAAAACTCTCACTTTTAAGCTTGCCAGCCATTTTAAAGTGAATTACAAAATTTTTTTTTGTCTGTGTATTGACGCTGGGAATTGAAAATATGTAATTTGAAAAAAATTTTGGTATGACTGAGGCAGGTCGTAAGGCGGGGAGGAGCTGTATATATAAATATTAGTAAATATGATACCTTAATACAAATACAGTACAATACTGTAATATACTCTACTGTAGTACAGGTCAGGTTAAGGTCTTGTAACAACATGATGTTCTACACCAGGTGGGTGATGACTTACTCTCCTTAACAGTTACTGTATATGAACAAAATTAATTATCTTTATCTTCACCAATACACTTTTTTGCCCCTTATTTACTGTATGTACTGTACAGGTATACTGTATATGTAAGGTCTAGGGTTAAGTAAGTGTTCTGAAACAAACTTTATTAGAATACGTACAGTATTTATTATCAAGTTACGTATGATTCTGTGTTGCCATAATTGTGAAATACTGTATAACAAATTGCAACACAGTATTTTAAGGTGATACATACGGAGACTACCATCCAAAGCAAATAATAATAGATAAATAAATGGAGGAGTATCAGAAGTGAACGTACAGAACACTAGCTTAAGTAAACACCGCTTCCCTTGAATTTTCAAATGCCAAGACAACATTCTATAGACTGAGTTGTTCAAATCAGAACTAATGACAATGGTATACTGTACTGTATAAAGATATGATAGTGTTTGTACAATTGGAGTATATCTTTTCACGGTGAGTTTACGAGTGTTTACCTGTGAGGATCCAGGAGGCAGGTGTAAAGGTTGCCTTAACCCTTAAACAGTGGTTGTTGTTGATGGAAGTTAGGTGTAGGGACGTTGGCCGTCATCAATAGAAGTTAGATGTAGGGACGGTGGCCATCATCAATAGAAGTTAGGTGTAGGGACGTTGGCCGTCATCAATAGAAGTTAGATGTAGGGACGGTGGCCATCATCAATAGAAGTTAGATGTAGGGACGGTGGCCGTCATCAATAGAAGTTAGGTGTAGGGACGGTGGCCATCAATGGAAGTTAGATGTAGGGACGGTGGCCATCATCAGTAGAAGTTAGATGTAGGGACGGTGGCCATCAATGGAAGTTAGATGTAGGGACGGTGGCCGTCAACTGTAGAAGTTTCATGTTCCTTACTTGACTTTTTTTTGCATATAAGGGGGGAGGGGAGAATTTTTAGCTAGCAATTGAGGCTTCATGGCAGGAACATGGAAATTGATGGATAAAGTTATGGTGGCTTTGAGAAAAATTAGAACGAGACATGAAACATCTACTGGCAACTTGCGTAAATTTTGCCTCTATAATTTTGATTTTTTTTAACATTCCAGAACGTCCTCCTATTTACCCGCCATTTTTTTTTTAATTAATTTTGGAAATATTGATTTTTTTCTCGATTTAACCCCGCGTGGGGGGTACTGCCAGCACCCTAACCTGGGGCTTAAGGGTTAATCAAAAAGAAATTTACTACCCCTGGCATCCATGTTCACACTAAAGGCAGGGAAGGTTTATGTTTGCAGGTGAGCTAGGATTATATTGTTAATAATTACCTGTATTGTGTGGGAAATACTAATGGAACTTGAATAAATTGAGGGAAAGTGTGTTAATGTTGTATGTTATTAATACCGTCATATACTTGCCTTACAGTGGAGTTAAATTTACAGTGTATATCTCTGTGATTTAGAGAAGCACTTTGTTAGATGTTCGTGTAGCCATCGTCAGAGACTGAGATGGGCGGTAGAGTTGGTCAAGACTAAGGACACTACTACAGATAACCAACCATTTAGGCTTATATGAAATACAGTAATTGCATTTCTTTATCTTTTTATATTGTAGTGTTATTAGCTGTGTGTCTTGTTTCTCATTATGCAGGCAGGTAACTGATCCACAACCGCTGTACATGGTTGTATATTTACACTTTTTCTTGAACTAACCTCCTTGTGTCATACTACTACCACCACCACTCAGACCTTTAATGCAATCTTTTCCTGCATCTTATTCCACCACTCACTTTTCTCAGATGTCTTTTATTTCACATTAATTCTCCTTCCTGCTCGGACTGCTTCTGCACCCAATGTATTGTGTAATATAACTGATGACTCCCTCTCTCTTGACGTTAGATAATAACCCTAACAAAATAATGCTAAGACAGATTATATTGATCAAAAACTAACCATGTCTGCTCTTTGGTAAACTGTTCATGGGTAGTGTTTGCTTAACCCACCTCACTTACCTCCTGTAGTGTGTAATGGCAGAAATTAATTTACTGTACAGTTTTCTGGTAGAATTTACTTTGCCATAGTTCACTACACCAGGAGGGGGAATAGGAGTCCAGTCTGAAACAGGCAGTGGGTTACTTTACATCTTGCACTCACAAAAGTTCTTTTTCCACACCGTGATCAGATGGCAAGGGAGACACAGTCGGGGATCGAACCACAACCTCTTCGTGCATCAATCAGGCATTGTACCCACTCCACCACGGCCAAGGGACAAAAGTGCGGGTATCCTTATGGACATTTGAACCCCACGCCTGCCCGCAATCGCGCAGTGAGTTGTTACGCATTCAAGACTTGCTCGTTTGTGAGCATCTCCTTAAGTTTCCCTTCCACACTCATTCATTAAATTACTCCATTATTAATCTTAGTTTAAAGGACAAGACAGTTCTTACTTACCTGAGTTGGAAATAAAACTAAATAAACATGACAATAGTGAGATAAACTATGAGATGCTATTCTCATTTACTAGCTAATAAGAGAACCATCATTACTGTTTGGAAACTTATCATCCCTAAGTTTGCTGAGAAACTGTTCCTATTTGGAGCTTAGTGCCCCTGGCAGCCTTTTATCCCTTTAACTACAGCTTCACTTGGCCAAATGCTTTATTCTCAAAATCTTTGCTGTCAGTCTGTTTATTAAAGGTCCATGAGGAGATCATAACTCAGATTACCCAAATCTTCATACTTTTACAGTATCTGTGAATTAAGGTGTGTAACATTCATAGATGCTGTAGCCAGTTACTTGTGTTAAATGCTTTACTAAAACTGCTTCCATCTTATAGCCAAGTTCAGCTATACACAGTTTGCTTTGGTTCACTTGCAGTACCGTATCATCTTGTCTCTCTCAGCAAATTTTCTGGTCAATGTAGTTTTGAAGAAAATGTTGAACTTCATGTTTTAAATAAGAGGTTAATACTTACTTTAGCAAGCTGTTAGTGTGCATGGTTGTTGTACAGTAGATTATACTGAAGATATTATCATATTTTTCTATACATTGCTTTTGCTGGAAGTGACAACAATTATGCCGTTATACTTCTAATAGTAGATAAAGTGTTCTTTACAACTTTTATACTGTACTACTTAATTCTGAACTATAACAGAGGGACAATATTTATGGCTATTTCTAACAAAACTTCAATTCACACTGAAGTTAATATATCTAACTAATTACTACTTGCATTTGACCTTGGAATATCATAATATTCTCAATGGTTGAATGAATGCATAATATTGTTTTGCTTTGACAGAATTAGCGGTAGTCAAAATCGTAGGGAAATATATTTATTTATATATTTATTTTTTATGTGATTATTGGGTATTGTATTGGCCTTGTTAGTGGCCTGAGTCTGGTGAACATTACTGGGTAGATTCTTGTAACTTGTACTGTACTTACAGTTCTCTTTACTCTCCTAGTACAGTACAGTACAGCTATCCCGCTAGTTATGGGATTTCGTGTTGTTAAATTTTGAGTTACGGTTAAGGACAACTTTTCTGGAACGTAGCCCTTTCCTTAACTCGAGGGATGCCAGTACAGTATTATGTTGTCAGTGACATATTTTGAAAGGATCAAATTTTGTTTTTTGTTTTTCATAATATTTTGCTGTAAATGAAATGTTTGCAGTGGCTGTTTTGAAATTCCAAGTACATACTGTACACTGGATCTATTTGGGGGTAAATTTTTCTCAATACTGTACAGTACGTATATCCACCATAACCATTGAAACCTCACACACACACACACACACACACACACACACACACACAAAGCTGTATTCTTAATAATGGGTATTGGTTTTCCCTTCACCTACCTCATGATAAAAGCAGTTAAACCCCTTCCACCATTTTTAACCACAATTGTCTCAAAAAAAATATTAAATAAAAATATTATGTATTGGTCAATGTTTCCTCAGGTGCCACGTTTGTGGTGTTATGCATGACTGTGTTTAATGTTAACAGTAAAATAGTGTGTGATAATAAACACTGAGCTAATCTAGACAAAATTTTTAAATTCTTCTCCCTATGACCAAGAAATCAAGTGTTATTAAAGGTATGAGCTTTGAGACATTACAAAGAATATAGTATACAGTATGTTAGTGTTATCAGTGGACACAGTGTTCTCCTTGTCATAATAGTCAATGGTTCATGCCCAGTTGGCTCAGCTGTGAATGGGTACCTGACTTAAGTAGAGAAAGTGAAGACAGTCAAGTGCAGTGCCAGCCACACTGTCCCTAATGGCCCGTCAGTCCTGTGGAACCTGTTTTTAATTTGGATGATAATGCAATTCTCTAAGAGTTCATTTTACTTTAAAATAAAAAAAACTGAAAGGCTTCTTCTACATTACTGTATTTTGTACTCTGTGGAGCTTGTGTCTACTGAGACATTGGCAGTGTTAAGAGGAAGATTGTTTTGAATTTATGGTTTATTGTGCAAGATTTACTCATGACCTTCCCTATCCATTATAAGAATAGATGTACACACACACACACACACACACACACACAAAAAAGGTGCAAGACAGTTACGGTTTATTCAGTAGTTAAAGTTGTCTTTGTTGTGGAGTGGGGAATAGAGAAAACCAAGGTGTTATGTGTGGTGAATTAGTTCTTAGAAAATTTGTGATTTCGACATGAATGTAAAGACAAATATAGTGGACTCTGATGTGTTCCAAGTACTGTGTACTCTAATACAGTATCCTTCTTCACGTACTCATTTGTAAATGACTGCTGTAACGCTTGATTGTTTACCAGTGGCGCGAGTAATTTTTTGGGGGAAGGACGTGCTTGCTGCAGATGGGTGGTGCCGGTTTATGTGAAGTACTGTGACGAGTATACCAGGTTTGGAGTCTTGTTTTAGAAGGGAGTAGCATAACTGAACTCTTCCTTTACAGCAGTGATAATGGGTGAATAACAATAGATAAATGTAAAATGTGTGTGTGTGTGTGCGTGCGCGCTTGTGTGTGCGTGCGTGCTTGTGTGTGCGTGCGTGCTTGTGTGTGCGTGCGTGCGTGCTTGTGTGCACCACTCGGTTCACTGGATGGCAGGATGGAGTTCAATTATGGCCTGTGCTCTTCACTTGGCAACTTTTGAATTATAGCCATGTGTCCTGTACTATTCTACTGCAAACCTAGGTTAACCGATAGATCTTTAGAAACAATAGTCACCATTAAAAGTTGGAGCGATGAGTCTTGAGTGACGCCACATCAGGTGACAGGGCTTGACCATCCACATCAGCAATACTGGAACTGTCAGGAGTTAGTCCATTTTGATTTATCATATCCACCACTTATTAGATTACTAGTTGTTCAGGTAGTCAGTCTGTTTGTTACAGTTTTCATTGTCCAGAGTTGTGTTACTTCAAGAGAAAACTACGAGTACTGTACTCAGTGACCCCTTCCAGGGATCAGACACAGGATGGACACTTTGCAGTGAGGCATGCATGTTACCATCTCATTCCCACTGTGTCCAGATGACTGCATGGCAGTTGGATTTCCCTCAACATAGTTGGAACACAGAAAAAAGTTGTTTGTTATGAGCACTAGTGAAGTACCGAGTTGATCAACACACTTCTTATTGTTTCTTGTTTTTTATGAGGCTTTGTATTGTCCTGCAAGAGTTGTATAACTTTACAAACATCCTCACTTCTTTTTATATACTTTACTGTGGTTCTCTGTTGCTTGTTAGTTCTTGTGTTTAGTTGCTGAGGGACTGACATTTGATTTTATGTAAGTTTCTTTTATGGATGGATAATGCCATTTAATTTTCAACACTTATCAGCTTACTAGATATTAAGGCAGTCACTCTGTTCCTTATTACAACCCTCCCTTCTCATATCTGACCTGGGTTCAGTGGTTGAATTTAGGACACTTTGGTGAGAGGCAAGCACACTACATCTGGACAACAATATAGGATCTCAGTGTATCAAGTTTGGTTCTTCTCACCCACCATAAGCAAGAGGGAATGTGTTGATGGAATAGTGTTCTGTCTAAGAAACTGTGGGAACTTGTTAGGTATCCAAGAGTTGCTGGATTATTGGGTCAGTGTTCAGTTTAACACTACACACTTGTTTGAATGTTAATATGGGGATTGGTGAGGTTATTTTCCTAGTACTGTACAAATGAATGTACTCCAAGGGTTACTATCCAAACTGAATGTAAACTAATGTACAGTACTGTACTTAGAACAGTTACATACCACCATCTCCCATTTTCTAGCTGGCTTTAGACTAAAAAATTCGCCAAGTGAAGAGCATTGGCCATTGATTTGCTCTGGAGATACTCTTATAGGGCCTAGCCCATGAATTAGGTGATTGAGGTGTCCTACTGTACCGCCCCCTAACCCCCAATCCCCTCCCTCTAACTCTCTACCCCCTTCCCTGCTCCCCATCACACCTACTGGGTACTGGTGGAGGTCTACGTATTGAGATTTAATTAATTGACACGTGACTATTCCAATATGGCTGACCAGGATGAAAAAGGTGTTTTGTATCAGGTGATGTTGTCCTCAGGATGACTCTAGGTGCTCTCTTGTGATGGGGGAGAACTCATATGAGTGGCCCCATGCCATGCCTTGCCAGGCTCAGCCATAACATAGGATTTTGGGATCAATCTTTTGTTTGTTATAAAATTACCTTCTGCATGATCAATTTGCCATTACAGTACAGGTAGCCGAGACTAATTTATTCACTCAGTAAAACAGTCTATTACATGTTGACACTTTTAAGTGATACAGTAGTCATGTTTTTGGTAGACTTCACCCTATGATGACACATGTACAGTACAGTTTTGGAAATAGATTAAACTCATCCTCTGTTAGTGTGTGTCTAACTTAAATGTCATCTATTGTCTTATCCATTACTGTTGTTACATTTAAAGTAGGTTAGTACATAAAGATTATTCTCCACCAATATTTAGTGTGTTGTGTTTTAAAGTAAATAAAAACTGAGGTTTGTCAATTTAATTACTGGAAAAGTCATAATTTTGAACACTAGTTTGTATTATGTTCTTCACTACCCTGAGGATAAGATAACTTTTTCCTGGTTCCTCACTAGCCATTAGTTTGGAACTAACTAAAGAAAAGTGAGCAGAACTTTGGAGCTGAAAACTAATTAAGGAAAGACCAAAATTATGGATGCATTTTTTTCCTTTTCCTATAAGAACATAATCCAAAAGTTGTCCAGTCTGAGTAACTCAGCCTCACAGTTAAATATGTCAGTGTTCACCACCTTAGCTGCTAAATTACATAACCCAATAAACACAGGACAGTCTAACCATTGAAATATTTCATAATTTCTTTCCTCGTGACCTGCAAGAGACGGTCTGCCACTAGACACCTCTGTGCAGAACCTGCTGATGCCCAAAAGGTGTGTATTATTTGGTGGCAAGATACACTATCCTTGTGAACAATAACAGTCAGTGTTTTGATGCAGGTGAGATGCTTGCAGTATAGCCACATAGACAAGTCTGGACCAGGTAGTTGCCTCAGGGAAAACAGGTTGTCAGTGTACTGAAGACTTTTTGAGTTTTACTTGTATCATAACCCAACTGAGTAACTGGTACATCATGCCCCAGTGTACAGCTGCCTACCAACACACAACTCTCTAGGTAGGAGGGAGGAATTTGAGGCCACTCTTATCTTTTGAGTCATAAAATGGGATTTTATGCTTCAATATTTTATGTTTGTGGTCTGTGGAGCCTCACTTGTGACCTGTGTGACCTAAACCAGCTCAGTAAAAGAAAAAGGTCATGTTTCAGGTGAATGATTCCAGTGGTGTAGGTCTGTTCTAGACTTAGTGGTCCTGACTACATCACTGGTGTACCCTATAAAAAGGTCATCCCTTTATGATAAAGGAACAGAAAACTAACAATGCATTCTTCCCGGAGTTGCACAGTCAGGAGATGGAAGCCTTTTATTCAGATATCTTGTGACAAAATCCCTAGGTGAGGGCCGAGAGCCTCAGTCATACATAAACTTTACAGTACAGACATTTCTCTCAAGAACACCTTCAAGAGGCAACACCTCTTACAACATGAACTCCAGCACTGCAGGTAGGTTTGCTATTTTTTAATACTCTTCAGGGGTTAGGTTAAAATCATCTTAAATATCTTGCATAAAGCAACTCTAAATTTCTCTCTTGATGCTCTGTAATAATACTACTTGATACAGTATACCCGGTACCCTTGACATGTGTACAAATTTTTTTATCTTTCATAATGCTTCTGAGCTTTGGAGGAGAATGTCTATTAAATCTTCCCTGAAGTAAATAGTTTTATTGCCAGTCACACTGTATATATCAGGGAACAACTGTTACTCACCTTAACCACTTGGGTATGGGGTCCTCTCTCTGCTGAATAAAATCATCTGGCATCAGCCAAATAGATATTAAAAGTGGCGTCCTCGTAGTGAGGGGGTTAACTTGTCGCTGGTTATATGAAATGACAAACAGTTTGTTGCAGTAGAGCATCACATTGAGTACAGTATTGTTGTGGGGGCGGGGCATCAGTGGCTCCCTGGCCTTCAGTCAGTCTTGGCAAGTCCAGTAACTTCTGGTTACTACCAAGTACCTCATGTAATAAAACATTTTGAAAACCCAAACACAGAGTAAAACTTTAATATTGACTGTTATGGCCTACGGGTTATCAACGAGTGACCTTTAAGATCCATGCTGGTGAAATAACATCCTAGTTGAGTCAGTCTGGCAGAGGACCTTGACTTGTTTAACTGGGTTACACTACCCAGACTGTAAAGAGCTTTAGTTGCTCTGCTGTCCATCTTCTCACCTTGTTGAACAAGGATTGAAGTTTTGATCCATCATGACTACCTGGTTGTCTTAGCACCAGTAAGGGATCATGGCAAAAGTCATGCTCTTCACATCCATGCAATTTGAATCACCATCAGCCATAAAAGGAAATTCTTACTCGTGTCCTCTCATGTCCTGCCATCACACAAAACTGATAAGAAACTCCCAGGTTTGGGAAGGCATTACTGCAGCCAGTTTTTTATGGATCAACTGAGGATTGTTATGCTAACCCTTTTTTTTATTACTAACATATTGTGAATGTTTCCCAGGCACCAGGCTAGCATAGTGTTAAAGAGTGTTAGAAAGAACATGAAGTTATCAGTTTTTGTAAATAACAGTGTACGATATGTGTTACTTGAATTGTTGAGCAAAAGCTATATGGATTCTTGGTTGAAGATCAGTAAGTGGGGGTGACATTCTGCCAAGTATTACTGTACATGTGTTAACAATCCATAACACCTGAAGGCATGTTTCACTACCTGGGTTCGTTTGTCCTCGCCCAATGAAGAAACAGTGTGGAGCAGTTCAGCTTCTTAAGCTTGAAATATGAAGGATTAAAAGTTTTACTTCCAATATTTGCCAGATGCCTTACACAGGAGTGAGTAGATTCTTCAAAAGCACCATAGGTTAGTACAGTATTCTTTTCTTTATACAGAGATGCCATAAAGGTTTACACTATTCTCAATGGTCTACAGAACACACAGTTCATAGTTGGGGTGTTTTTACTGTACATCATCTCCATCCCATTTCTGGCTGTCCTAGAATCTTACAGGTCCCTTTTTGATTCACCATAGGATATATTATATGAAGAAATGAAATATGGTACTGTATATTGTACCATTTACTGACTGAGGGAAAGAAACAAGTGACATGGTAGCCCTCCTTCCCTTGGCCTGAGAGGAACTTGGGTTTCTTGTACATTTGGTTGTGGTACAAGTTGTGTGAATCTTTTCTATGATTCTCACTGGTCTTCGACAATCACTGAATTAAATGGGATGGAAACCTTGACTCCAATTTGACTGGATGAAATGGCCATCTGCAGCAAAGATCATAAACTATATGGATAGTGTTTTTATTGTGCTAGTGGACATTTAAGCAGTATACATTACAGTAGATTTCACACTTCACTTGTCTTTTCCCGTCAGTCAATAAAGTTTTTTTGTTTTGTTTACTTCAATCAGGGTACAGTATTCTCTCATTGCTATAGTCTTGACACCTCTATTGTCATCATCTCTCCATCTCCATGGTCTTCTGATCACTGCCTTGTTTCAGTATCCTGACCCCCAACAGTGCCCTAGCAAATGCTTCCCTCTCAGAACCTCAACATTTGTCACTTCAGTAGGTCAGATCTATAAGCTGCACTCACCAGCTCCCTGGAACCTCACCAATGAAGATTAAAGTAGTGTAGTGTTAAAGCCTCATTGAAAGTGTTATTACGTGATTATATAATTATTTATAACCCATCTTATCCTTTTTTCAGAAAGCTGCATAACATATTCCCTCTCTGTACACAATACTCTAACCAAGTCATTTAATAAGGCATAAATCATGGTAGGCTTTGCTAATCTCAACATTATTCTATTAAAAATCAGTTTCTAACGTTCTACAATCCAAAGCACAATTTCTTAACATATAGTAATCCAAAAACAACTCATTTTGATTTGGATGAAAGGTATTTGCCCATAATTTGTTGCTTTTCACTACGCTATTTTGCATTTCACTTATCCAATGGCTAATCAATAGTTATAAGTAAATTCCATAAACTTGTTTAATGAAAAACTAACAGTAAAGTTAATTGTCATTCTTTATGTGTTGCCTATATTACACTGTTTAATCTGTAGTTGTTATTAAAAATTTTCCTCATGCTGTATACTGTACTCATTTAAAACAGTGATTTGAAATAAATTATTTGATTTAAATCATGATATAAATCGAGGTGATTTAAATCGACCAACCCTGCCAGGAAAGGAGCCATTTATGTAATATACAGTAGAACTAATTTTTGTGTAATATCTCTGTTACTGTATTTTTTTGGTGTGTACTATTTAGTGTTTATTAAGTCTTGTGTTACCAAACTATATTACAAAAAAAAAAAAAGTACAGTATTGTGATAATTTATCCTCACTAAAACTATCAAACTTTTTCATATACTGTACCTGTACTGTATACCAAACATTGTTTGGTATTGGAAAAAATTTTCAGATTCGTTTTATACCAAAAAGCTCCCTATAACGAACTGGCTGCTCACATGCCCACAATGCCCACCTGCCCACAGCACCCACCTGCCCACAACGTACACCTGCACCACAACACCCACCTACCCACAACACCCACCTACCCCCAACACCCACCTACCCACAACACCCTCCTACCCACAACACCCTCCTACCCACAACACACACCCACCCACAACTTTAGCAATAAATTTCCTTAGCAATCCTTGTCAAAAATAACACTTTTTTCACCCATCATTAACATTCTACATCAGACTTACAATAGAAATAGTTGTACAGGGGTTCTCCGGGATACGAACAGGTTCCATTCCTGAGGACGTTCTTAAGTTGAAGTTGTACCTAAGTTGAAACACATGCTATGTGCATACTGTACCTACAGAGCAGTGTTTAAAATCCCACTATATCATAGCCAAAGTCCTTATTTATATCTAAAATCACTTAATTTAAGACAGAAGAAATACAATAACAAATTACAGTAGATGAAAGTACAAAAAATAAGTTATCAGGTAAATAAAATACTGTACTGTAAATTTAAAGTTAACCTTGTTCGTATCGGTGGGCGTTCGTAAGTCGGGGATCTCCTGTATACTGTATCTTTGAATTTTCCAAAAGTATTTGCAGGTTCATAGCCTGGCCCCCAAAAAACAAAAAACCTCAGCTTCCTTGCACAGTACAGTAGACTCATACTGTATCAGCCTTCAATACCAACCATACCTCTGTAATATTTATCTCATGTACTGTACTTGTTATTACTGAAGCTTCATGGTGTTATAGTACTAGGAAGTATATGTGATGGTTTCTGGCTCTACCAACTGCTTTCCATCCCCAGTATTATTATAGGTAGAATAAGGTACAGCAGAATCACTAAGTTAGAGTTCCAGTTGTGTTATACGGTTGTAAGCAAAAGTCCTGACACCTCTTCTGCTGCTTCATGAACCTCGAGATTCGTGAGCGTAAATCCGAAATATTTACAGATTGAATGATGCATTAACATCTACTGCTTCGGGTTAAGAGTTTGGGTTCGTGGAGCAGCAGGAGAGGTGATGGAACTTTTGCTCGCAACTTTGCAACACAACTGGATTATAAAATTACGAAAATAAAATTAATTAAAGTACATAATAGAGAAAATTAAGTTGTACTTGTATAATAAACCATCCAAAATTCACACTCAAATTAAATTTCCAGTATAAACTTTATACAATAAGACATTATTAAAATACAACAATGCAAGTGAAGTAATATAGTTTAAAAGAAAAGAGAGAAGAAGTAGAGTAGAAAAACATGAATAGATGAGGGAAGTGGGGTGAAGAACACTTCATCTCCTTCGGG